CGGTAGTGGTCGCAGGTAATCATCCCTCGGATGAGGCTTCCAATTCAGTCGTGACTTGAGTGTCTTGCATCGGGCGGCACGCAGATGATATAATGCGGATCGACCAATTTCGAGAGAAAATGCCGACTTAGAAGGCTGGATTCATGAAAGCGGCTCGAATTACGGCGATGGGGCGAGCGAGTCTTTTTTTTTTTTTTTTTTGTCAGGGACACCACGGATACGTTCTTCCATGGCTGCAAGGAGTGTATATGGTGCCATGTTCAAATTGAATTCTTATCGAAGGGTCGGGCGAAGCTGAGATTCAAATTCGATGCCGTAATTCCGAATTTAATCCCTGATTGCTTGCATCGACAGGTACCGCCGGATCTACATCTGCTTGGACGACTTTTTCTTGTTAGTGTGAAGCAAGCGAGCCTCAGCAGCAGCGCGCGCGTAGGTACAACATACTCGTTTCCATCATTACCAGACACAGGCACAAGTGGCCAGACTCTTGGGTAATGTCTCAATCTCCTCTTTTCTTCTCCGCTTCAGTCTAGAAGAGGAATCCAAAATGCATGTGCTCCTTGCCCGATTCCAGCACGCTCTTTCCCTGCTACCTACAGAGCTGCAAGGTAGCTGTATATTGAGCATGCACTTCGCCGCCTAGACGGCAAACTCATGTCGTGTGTCGTGCCGTGCCATGTTGTCGTGTGTCGTGTCAGTTCGTCTGGCGCATAAAGGCAGAGGGATGTTGTATGTGTACCATGCCTGCCTATCGACGCACCGATGTGCAAGACATGCTAAAACGTCGCACAGCATATGTGAAATTTTGTGCCTGGGGATGGCGCCAGCCATCATATAACTCCCTGTCCGTTGTCAGGTGTGCACGCTTCACTCGCGCACGTACCCATCTCTATCTTGGGCTACCTTCATGACATACTTGATGCGTGTCCTTGGAGAGTGAATATCCGGGCGCTTTGAGCTAATGAAGAGAAAAGTTGGAAGAGAAGGGGAATCATGGACCCGCTCTGGTGCCCAACTCACACCCCTTCTCAACGCTTTGCCAGCTTTCAGACGTGTGTGCTCGTTGTCATCGCGAGGAATGCCCCGCCGCTATCCCATGCTCATTTGAGCGGTTTGTCCCCCTCTTGGGCAGCTTTAGTATCCGATCCTGCAGTACAAGTCCTGCTTTAGACGTACATGTTCCAAGGACAGGGTTAGAAGCAATGCGTTGGCACTTTTTCTTCTCCCTGATCCTCGACCGGTGAAGGGCCAGAACTCGCGATGTTGCAATAATATGTAGGGCAGTATCCAGAGACTTCAGCCTTAACAGGCCGCTAATGCGGTTGGCATATGCTCTCCACCGACTTGCGCCACGAAAACTGTGGTGCCAGCTACAGCTGATACGGGGCACTTGGAAAAGATTGACCTTTTGAGGAAAAAAAGACCTTCGAACATGAAAGCGGCAAGAGATCGAAGGCGGCTTTTGCTAAAAGTGCAGAGTCCTGTTTAAGAAAATCTCATCAGCGGCAGCTCTCAACCCGAGTGGGAGGACGATCTTACCGTTGGGCATTCTCACACCTCTTGTTGGTATCTGCCGCTCGCATGCTTATGATGCAAGCTGATAGTACAATGTAAGCGGAAATAGTATAAGCCTAATTGTCAGCTGGATCTCTCTCGTCGTCCTCGTTGGTTCGTTGCCCAACATGTCCACACTGAAAGCATGATACGCGCATGCGCATGTATGCACATATTCATATAAGCAGCGATAGATCACAGTCCGCCTTACCACGAATCTTAATATTCCAAGGGGGACACCCTACTGGTCGACCCTCTGTGAAAAGCCATCAGCCCATCCAAGTGTGCTTTTGCAAACAGTCAACCGAAGTTATAGACAGCCTCCATGCCAGAGGCGCGTTAGTACATGCATGCATGCACCCATCATAGCTTGAGAGGTGGCTCCTCCAGGTAGTCTCGCAGGTCGAACAACAGTGCAGTTTCAATCTAAGTTTTTCTGTTTCCCCCAAATGTACGTAGCATCAGGTCGTACTGCTGCTATTCCGTATCCACTCAGCCCTGCTGCTAAGACGGGAGGGGCCATGTAATGTGTTTGCCAGCAACTGGCAAACTGGCGGCAAGGTGTCGAGACAACTCATCGGCAGCTCTCAATATGGTATCGGGGACTGGCATCCGGCGGACACGCCGGCATCATCAACCGTCCGAAACAGTTGAAAGCTGGTATGACTCTGCCTGTATATTCTGGCTTAGCTGACAACGTGGACGGGACCTACTCCGCACATGCATTAGCACCACGCTCTGGAGCAAAGTCAATGGGTAGCAAACTTCTATAAGAGCCGCGTCACACGGTCTGTTGACCGGGGAATCAGTGGTTCATTGCCGCACAGCCAAATTGAAGGCGCGGCACAGCGGTGGCTGGTTGCGCAACGACAGAGGAAACCTGGCTCTGGCGGCCGCATGCGCCCAAGTATCTTCGCCCAACCGCTAGTGCCACGGAGCCACAAACCAGGCATTCGGCCTCTCTCCAGCGCACGATAGCCAATATTCATGTAGTAGTCCGTAGGAAGAGGGAAGCAATGCCCTGTGGTCGTGAGGCCGTGAGAGGAGGAGCCTCTTCATCCGTCAGCTGCCGGCGTGGACGGGCCAATTGCATCAGCTGGGTAAGGGTATTGTCGATGAGGCAGAGCCCCTGCACTCTCCGGTAGACGTATCAAGGCACGGAGACACACAGCTCCCAAGAATGAAGTAATGCGGCTGGCCATGTCTTGCTCTGGTTGGCCTCTGCTGAGCGGCTATCCTGCTCTGAGGCCGAGGAGCAACTGATCACCCTTTGTGACGCCAATTGTGGCCCAAAAAATACTTTTTCCTGGCCATCCACGCATGCATGCAGCGTGTATGTGGGTATGCTTTTGAGGTAGGTGTGGGCGTTTATACATGGGATAGACGTGCATGACAGCAGCATATTCGTGTGTGAAGCTGGAAATATGCCATTCTTTCTTCGCTATGCTCCATGTTCCTAATTGTCAACACCTAAGGCATCTATTTCAGTCTTGATCTTCTTGCCTTACCATCACATCCGTAACTGAGGTCGTGGCGGAAGGCACGTCCGTGGCTGCGGCAAGGGCGAACAACAAGAGGTGCACAGACCTTAAATCTGGTCCGGTGTGGGGCTCACCGGCAGTAGTCCCGCCCGCGTTTGCTCGGTGGCTTGTGGCAACTGCAGTTGGTGCTAGCAGCTTGAGATACGGGGTAAAAGAGCAGCAGACTTGTATGGGGTACCGCGGGCAGCAGCAGCAGCACGGGTACTTTCAGCTTGGTATGTTGCGGCGAGCTCGTCACTGGTACTGCTACTGCGCCAATTCTACCTGTACCTGTCTCCAGGGGCAGGGGCAGGGGCTCTGAATAGCAGCCCAGGCGCTTTCTATTAGAGGCATGGCGGCTGAGATCCGACCTATAGCCGCTAACTACAGGCAGTAAAGACGTACCACCTATCATTATTTGCACCCCAGCTGTGATATCGCTCGGCAGTGCTGTGACGCTTTTTTCTTCCCTTTGCATCCATCAAGTCGTGTGACTCCGTCGCAGCCTCGGATTTTGCTGTACTCGTTCTGAGAATATGGATTCAGCATGTCTTTGCACGGGCCGTCGTCTGCGCGCCTGCGAGGGAGCAATCTGGGAGGCAGACTTCAGACGGCACCGCAGCCAGCTCAGCGCAATGGCGCCTTTCTTCAGGCCATCATCCACACACATGCACTGACAATACACGCCCCACCCTCCCGGATTCTTGACCCAAATCATGTCCAAGTACTCCAATCTATTGGTGTACTTTGTAGGACAAGCTGTTTACGCTAATGCTTCAGTCAAGGAGAGTAAAATCAGACCAGACCATGAAAAAGAAAAAGCAGGCAATCAACATCCACCGCCAGCCCTGGTCAAATTATCCCAGCCCCGTCACACCCTCTCGATGCTGCTACGTCTTGACCCATCCGTTCCATCGCCTTGTGTTCCCCATACTAGCCGTGGGTTTCTTTCTTTTTACAGGCAAAGAGAAGGATCCCCTGGTCTTTAGCCGCATGCCAGGAAAACAAAGAACAATATAATTCCTCGCCTTCAGCCGTTACTCGCCCTCTTACGCTGATCCATCGCCAATTCTTTGCAAGCTCCAAGAATAGCATCTGCTACATGCGGACGGATATTCTATAGAGATACACCACCTTGTACGCCTTGCCGGCCATTGTTGGATTATTCGTGCTCCCTTGTTGCCTCTGCCTCCATTTCGGATGTCTGCTGCCCGGTGTCTGGGCCCTCTTGCATGCAGTCTACCGCTCCGCGTTAAACACGCGCGCCAACACTGAAGCTGCAAGCATTGACAGCTCAACCACCACGTTTCTGCCACCAAGGCTTTCTTGGTATTTTTTTCCCCGGTTCGGCTGCATCTAATTCCTACCCTGACCCCAGTAGCGCTCTCCGAGTGCCACATCACACACGGCTTCTCATTCTGCTGGGGCCCCATCCCCCCCTTGTCCGTCGACCAGGTCGTAATTCTTCTCGTTTGCCTACAGACATCCTCCACCGAGCTCAAGACCCCCGGCAAGTCGAGCCCGCCGTGATATAAGATATCAGGCCTTCGCCGTCTGAATCGCAGACTCCAACTTTCTTTTGCTCTAAAGAGTCACCTCCAGACGAATGCTTCAGTTGTCTTAATCAACACAAAAAAGTGCTCAGATCCCCCCCACACGCCGCCTTTCCTGCTTGGGATACGAATACTACTGCTCCCTTGAGCCTCCATCCCTCGCTCCAGCTTCCTACCCACCGCTCTGTCGAGGGCACTACAGCATACTGCCTATAAATCCGTCACTCTCACCTCTCTTCTCCTCATTTCTATCAGAGCCATCTCGACTTTTGGTGCCGGTATATACACAATCCTCGACCGTCTTTCTCCGTTTCTCTCCAGCCGCGAATCTCTACAACCTAATTATCACCAACAATACCTTATTATCATAATGTCTACTTCTTCATCTTCTTCCTACAGCGGCTCAACATGGCAGGAACGCCTTGAGGGTATGGGATTCTCACACCAATTGCCACTTCTCGTCGTTTACTCAACTAATACCATGCAGAGGCTTGCCGTGACGCCCAGATCATGCCACCCACTTTCCAGATCGTGTCTGATCGACGAGGTATGAACACCATTTTGGGCCTTTGCCTTGATTTCTTCGCTAATACCATGTTCCAGGCGGTCGAACAGCTTGGTCAAGCCAGGTTACAATCCAGGGCCAAACCCTTGCCGCACGATACTGGTACGATGGAAAGAATCTCAACAACGCCAAGGAAGACGCTGCCGAATGTGCTTTGAACTGGCTAAGCACTTCGAGCAACGCCTCCCACGTACGAAACTGGAGCACTTGGTGAAATATAACCGCCACCGCTATTTCTACTGCTTACCGGCATCACTCATTATACTTCTTTTTGCAGCTATCCACTGCTAGCGACATCGAGCAGCGACACTCGTTGTTTGTTTTATTATACCGGTTATTTTTTTCTCTCGTCATTCTCTTGTTATTTTTTTCATTTGTTTGGTTTGTTTGCCATGTTTGGAGTTGAGGTAACGAGAACAAATACTTTTCCAACTTGAGAAAGCTGGAAAAAAAAAGAGGAAAACAGTAGGGGCGGCGCAATTTGCAATTATGTCACGTTCTGGGCAATTCTCTTTTCACTGTACAGAGAGTCTCTGCCCCGGACATCTGCTCTGAGTACGTTCCTAGAATCTTTGGTGGGCGAATTCTTTTCGGCCTCGATCAACAGCACTGCACATGGGAATTTCGAGGACAGGGGCGCATGATTACAATGTATGTGACTCGCTGCGTCCGCATCACTCTTGCAGAGATGGAGTTTGTTGTACTAGGATGATTATTTTGGGTTATTTGTTCTGTTTTGCCTTTGTGGTTCGATTTGATTTTTACTTGCTGGGAAGGTTATTTATTTTACAGTTCGACATTGAGTTCAGGAGCCAGACACACAAAGAAGGGGAACCGTGACGAGTTAAAGGCAGATGAAGATTGGACAGGCGCATAGCCCAATAAGACGTGTTGAAGCTGATACTACTAATTACTGTATAGTCGACTTTTTGTTAGAAAGAAAGAAACGATCAGATGCGAAATTGATAGCGTAGAGAGGCATGTGCATGGCTTTATGACTGGCAGGTCTGGTGATTTCCATGGCGTGAAAGCTCCGACTTGGTCGAGTGCTTCCTACGAGAATGAGGTCATGTGGTCAAGGAGGAAATGAGCGCCCCAACACGGACAGGCAGCTGCCGGCCAATGCTGTGGAACAAATCGTGCAAGGATGGCTCAGATTCATCCGCCAAACGAATCTGAGATGAGCATGCAGGGATATGGACCAGGATTATAGGCAAGATGAGGTTGAATGATGACATAAGCGGTGGTAGAATATGTGTACGAGATAGCTGGGGATAATGATGTTCGGGCCGTCATTTCTCCGATTCGAACGGCGCTTTGCGTAGTGTGGTGGGCGGCTCTAATTTTCGCTTGCTTGATGGAGAGGTGGTGAAATCGATCACGCGAAGAGTCTAGGAGGAAGAATTGCGCCTTGGGAGCACTCTTGGCTATCCGGTGCACCATCATGGCTTCAAGATTAAAGATCTGGGGTGCATGCAGGACTCTGGCGGTCCGACCGCAACCCGCCCGCCTGCCAACTCAGCCGTTCCGAGTTCAGATCTCGCCATCTCGATTCTACGCCGACGATGCGACCAACAAATCTTCCAAGCCTGCTGCCGGCGCAAAGGTAGAAACGCCCGGCTCAGCCACAAGATCAGAATTAGGGAGCGCTGGAGTTGCTCAATCGAACGAATTGGCTCAGAAGACACCCGAAAAGGTGGGATGATATTCCCCCCCTCCCCCTCCACTCGAGTACAATACAATGCTGATTTGCGGTGCGGTTATAGACAGCTTCAACATCACATATCGAAACGCTGGACGATGCGGCGTTAGAACAGATCCTCTATGGCGGCCGGCCAGCGACAAGCCAGCGGGAAGGCGGCTTGACGGAAGCGCAAGAGGACGCCTTATATCGTGAGGGGGTTATCCCCCCGCCAGAAGAAGCGGAAGCCGTTCTCGCCAAAGCAGAAACCGCCGCTGAATCGCGATCAATATTCCCTGTCGGCTCAGAATTGCAAACTACCGGCCACAAATTTGGACTTCCAAAGAAGCCCTACCCGGACGGATTCAACGTCAAGAAGCGATACCACCCGGTGCTGGAGCAGATTACCAGGCTTCTGATGCGCCATGGAGAGCTCAGCGTTGCGCAGAGAGTATGTTGGATACCGAGCCTCTCTTATCTCTATAAAGTTACCCACCATGGCGCAAGAATACTAACGGGGGCTTTGCTAATTAGAATATGGCCATGGTCATGAACTTCTTGCGAACGGCACCCGCCCCTATCTACAGTCCGAAATTCCCCCTATTACCGGGGACTCCTCCCGCCTCGCACCTCCCCCTTAACCCCGTTCTCTACATCACCATCGCCATTGACTCCGTTGCGCCGCTTCTCAAAGTAAGAAACATTGCCGGCGCTGGTGGAGGAGGCCGTGCGCTTGAGCTTCCGGTCCCCCTCGCAGTTCGGCAACGCCGAAGGATGGCCTTCCAATGGATCCTGGATGTCATCAACAAGAAGCCCTCAAAGGGCAGCGGACGAACTCAGTTTGCCCACCGGATAGCCGAGGAGATTATCGCCGTGGTGGAGGGCCGATCGAGCGTGTGGGAGAAGCGGAAGCTGGTGCACAAGCTTGGCACCGCGGCCAGAGCCAACGTGGGCTCCAACAAGCTCAAGACCAAGAAGAAGAAATAAGCAAATAAAGATGGGAAAATTCACGATGTGACGGCGAATATCGAATGTATATTAGATGTGTATTCTACGGCAAGGAACCAAAAAGGGGCAGATGGAAAAACAAAAGCTGTTGATAGGCCTTGGATAAGGCATGTATGTTTTTACATAGAGACGGCCAAGTGTAAATGGAGAGGCGCCAATTTCCGAGCGCGAGCACCTTTTACTCTATCAAATGCTCCCTTTTCAGTCAAAGATCAGCTGACGAGCTGATGAGCGCAAGTAATGTTGTATTGTATTCGAAGACGCCCCCTCCAACTCATTGCTCCGACTTGCTGGCCCCCAGTCTGGGCAGATCAGGGACTCTTTTTAAGGTTAAGCTGACCCAACGCCACAGCTACCACTAACACGAATCCAACAGACATTGACGTTGTACAAGCGGGCAAAAGCACCCAATGAGCGCCAGGATGGTTGGAGCAGTTTAGCGGAGTAGCACAGGGCAGTGCAAACTATCCCTGGGGGCCTTTTGAAGATGAAGAGGGGAGTTTTGGATTATGTATGGAGATTTGCTCCAATGTTCTTTAATGCTCACGGCATGAGTTGCGAATGAAGGAGCGATTTAGCTTACATGTGATCATTTGCTGTGAGATACAACTCGGACGAGGCCGGCTAGCAGACGAATCAAAATAATTACATGTAGCATTCCCGCTGGTGCGTCCAAGGACGCAAAAAAAAAAAAACCGCCTCCCCTTTTTTGGCCAAGGCATGCAGGCGGGCATGCAATGTGACTGTTCATCCCTTGCGTCTGGATTAAACTTAATCGCGATGGCTGCTGCTGTGCTGCCCTGCGAGCAAAAAGCCACAAGGTGCTAGACTGCCGTAGCTCTGGCCTAAGGGCCTAGCACCCGTAGGCGCGCGCCGTCGGGGCCTTGTTGAAGAGCTAATCCGTATAGCTTCAGGGCCACCCCCCTGTAAACCGCTCCGAGCGTCCAAGGCCTCCAGGGCACTGCCGGAGCGTCGCAAGCCGCTGAAATCTCCCGCTTAGTCCCTTGACTCGGGCGGCTCCTCCCCACGACGAGCCTCTCTTGCCCATCAAATCGCTTTAGGCTGCTCCCTAGGGCCTCTCTCCCCCAACTTTGCCCGACTCGGACAGGCTCCGGCATGTGCTCCTCCCGACGTGCGGCCACTGCATAAAACTCCAAACATACATACATACCTGACTCTGGGTACGCTTCCATCGACAATCCCGAACCAGCTTCCCGCTGTCGTCTCTTCGCCCTGCAGCCCTGTGCCCGCCATGATCTGAGAGGCGTCGGGCACAACGTCGCTTAACCGCCCTTCCGGTTCATGCACAATATGCTCCTCTGGTCTCCAACTCGGATCCAATCGACTCGACGTCGACTTCATCGAAAGCTGCCCCGCTAGAGACTGCGGCGGCCTCCCGCGGATCAATCGTCTGCCCAGATATCGAAGCTATAGCAGCGTCAATTATCGAGTGCTGCTGCGCGAGAGCACGTGTCTGCGAGATTGAAAGGATACTGGGACCCTGTGGACGGTTTTTCTCGTTCATCATTACATTGGGTGCTCGGCTCGCCAGACCTAAGCGGCTGGTCTCACAACATATTATACCGCCTACCGACTGTCCAGAGACGATACATTTGTTGCAACCTTTTTATCCCCCTAACTACATAAAAATACAACTTCAACCGTCAACATGGCGAACAACAACAGCAAGTATCGCCCTATGAGCATCGACGCCATGCTTGACATGGAGCGGCAGGAGGTCCTCGCTCTGCTAGAGGGCAACAAGGAAGCCCAATCTGCTAGAGGCGGGCGGTCAGATTCTCCCTACGCGTCGCGTTCTCCTGTTCGCAGTATGGTCGATATTGCAGAGGATGAGATTCCGCTGAGCAACGCCACGTCTTCTTCCAACAGACCTGCGCCGGCCTCTCAGGGCCCTGTGAGGAGCATGCTCGACGTTAAGGCGCCGCCTTCTCCGCAGTTGGTCCGCAGCATGCTCGATGTTAGTGGCTCTGTGCCGGACTCTCCCAGACGAGCTGGGCGCAATTCAACTCCAAGCTCTCCTCTACTGACGTCTAGTGACCCTACCTTGAGGCAGTCGCCAACTTCAGGCTTGACGCCCCGGAGTAGATCTGATGCTGGGCTGCTTTCCGATCCTGGACGGGGCCCACGAAGCAGCCTGATGTCCAACTATCAATTTTCTAGTATACTGTCGCATAGCTCAGGTCCTCAGCCATCAGTGAGGTGGTCGTCTTCGAGAAACAGCAAAGGTAACAAGCGAGATAGTGTAGGATCCCTAGGCCCTGAGGGCGCGCTTCCTACGGATAGGGGCCGGTCTCCGCTTGGAGCCTCTCGATTTTTCGGCGGGTCTAAATCTTCCCAAAATCGCCGCTGGAATAGTAGGTCTCAATCTCCGGCGACGTTTGCTCCATCAGCTCCATCACAACTGCCCCCCGGCAAGGCTCTTACGAAAGATGGCCAAGTGATGGATCTCAACAGTGCCTATAGAAAACTGTCAGATGCGAATCTCATGCATTCCAGCGGAAGCCTGGCGCAACTGCCGATGCGGAAGAAACACGGAGAGGCTGGAGAGGGCAGGCTGGTCAAGGATTATGTCGGACCGGATGGCGAACAACTCGATTCTAGTGAAGAAGAGGAAGAAGAGTCATCCGACGACGAAGACCGAGGGCGTAAGAAGTCACCTCGGTCGTTGATACACGATGCAGGGACCAATGGCGGGGAGACGCCGGCCAGTGGCTCGCAGCCTGGAGGGCGGCAGGCCTTGAGCTTGCTTGCGGCGGCGGAACAAGAACGTAAGCGAATTGAGACTTTGGCCTCGTGTGCGAGCAGCCAGGAAGAGAGAATCAGATGGGGGAAAATGCTGACTTTCTTGATTAGGCTCGCAGGTAGCTTCCCAACAGCCTCAGTATCAGTACCGGTCCCTGATTGCGGAGCCTGAGATCAAAGTAACAAGTGCAGCCGGAGAGACTGCAAAGCCGTCAAAGGCCAATAAGGGCGTCCATCCGGCCACCAGCTATGACCAGGGCCCGATGTCGCGGGCGCCGTCTATGAAGGACTCAGATGACGAAGCTGACATTGACGATATCAAGAGGGCCCAGAATTTATCGTTTACAATGACCAACATACTGGAAACGCCAGAGGCGCATCGTGCAATTCGTATCATCTACCGCGGAGATTACAATAGGATTATCCAAGCAGCTGAAGAAGAGAATCACAGGCTCCGGAAATATCTGGTGGCTACGGACCTCAGTGACGAATCAACTCATGCTCTCGAATGGGCAATCGGTACAGTCCTTCGAGATGGTGATACTCTGGTCGCGATTTATTGCATCGATGAAGAGACAGGCATAACGACGGGTGAGGGATCTGTGGTTCCTGATGAATCAAAGGCGATGAAAGAGCAAGCGGCCGCCATCAACATGATGGCAAATGCAAAAGCAGCACCGGCGCAGATGAACCTGGTATCAGAGTTTAAGCGGAGCTCGGCTTTCTATCTACGAGGCACTGGTTCCAATATAGGTACCCCCAGAGGCACCCCCAGAGGCACGCCAAGGGGCACACCAACCGGGTCGCCAGCGCCGCTGTATCGTGGCGATCGCTTCAAGGCCGAGCAGGAGCGTAACCGCGCTGTGCAGGAGATTACAGATAGGGTTCTCCGTCTCCTCAGGAAAACTAGGCTTCAGGTGAGGGTCATTGTGGAAGTCTTGCACTGCAAGAATCCACGACACCTCGTCACAGAGGTGATTGACCTCGTCAACCCCACACTGGTTGTGATTGGGAGCCGGGGCCGAAGTGCGCTCAAGGGGTATGTGTCCTGCTTGAGCTTTATTTCGAGAAGAGGAGGGTTCGCTAACCATAGACTTAGTGTCATTCTGGGATCATTCTCTAATTATCTGGTTACCAAAAGTTCGGTACCTGTGATGGTGGCACGCAAGAAGCTGCGGAAACAATCCAAGTATAAGCGAACGCCGGTGAAGCAGGTGAACAACATTAGCAACCCAACGGCCAGAAGCTTGGCCAACGCCAAAGTCGACTAGAAGCTAGTCAAGTTTTGAAAGGTTTCTTGGGACGTGCTACACAAACATTTTTTGGCTCCTGGCTATCCGGGCCCTGATGCAAGAGAATGCGGACATCGTGCGCAGCGGTTATCACTGCTTTATTATTATTTTCATTTATCCCACGCCCCCTCCCCCTCCCCTCCTCTTCGATATGTATGTACTGAGGATCTCTGACCAGGGGTGTGAGAGAGCCAACCACAAGTTCCGCTCAGTGACCACGGGGGACAAGCGCAAGCTACTATTGTATTGAACTAGATCAGTTGAAGCGATGATTTCAGCGGTAGCGGAGCCTAGGCGCGAGATGGAGTTGCTAGCTTTTCTTCTTTCGTTTATTTCATTCTTACTCGTTTTGGTCTTGTTTTGGGGGGGGGACGAGGAGAGAAGCTTGAGCTGCTCTTGTATCTTTCTCTTTCTGTACCCCACGGAGTAACGCGTTTCATAGGTATCTATATGTGGAATTGCTGGAAGATGACGAAAACAAGCAATGAAAACTACAAACTGAGAACGGGCGTCTTTTTTTAGTCTTTTGACGCTTCTTCTCTCACCTGGTATGCGTCATTATACGCACGTGTGTTGAATATCCGCTCCATCTCCCAACCAGCCTAGCGAGTATTCCCGTATTACTGCCCTGCTGCCCTTTGCCTCGCCTTGTAGAGCAGACCTTGTGAGCGGATTAGGGAACGGTGAGAGGTGAAGTGTTCGTTCATGTGACTGGATTTTTAGTCCATGAGGGTCCGGCCGTGTGGGGCGAAAAAGCGGCAGGACCAGGACGCTCTCTTCTTCTTGTCATGTCCGGATGGTGGTGCTATGTATGTACAAGTTAAGGTATCTGCGAAAGTATGGAGTACCTGCTAGGTAGATCGATGGAGCATCCCGTCCGACGTACTCCATACTTGTGCTGTATGTATGTACAAGGTTGCGAGAAGCGGGAGGCAATCTATGGCCATACCAGATGGGAAGAGGATTCAAAGGGTCCGCACCCAATTTGGGCTGACGGGACGGGGTGCTGAGGATCGTGGTGTTGGTGTCTTACAACGCCAAAAGCTTAGATTTCGGCACGAAGCCTTACCAGCAGTTTGTTGGTAGTATCAGCACCCAAAATAGATATACCTATGTTTGACCCTTTTCGTGTCTTATTCCGGACCCGTTGGTTTCTTGTTTTCTGAAGCAGAGACTGAATAAGAGGAATGTCATCGAAGGAGGGGGGGTGGCGTGTCTATTTTCTACAAGATAGAAGTGAAAAATAAGAAACGATACAAAAACGGGAGAGAGAGAGAAAACAATGGGGCGATGCGGCAAGCAAAAACCACACAGAATGCAAAGTGCATGCATAAGAAGGAAAAGAAAGGGCCAAAGACGGGTGCAGGGAGGGGTGGCGAAGCTGATGGGAGAGAAAGACAAGAGAGACAAGAGAAAGAGAAGCCCACTAATTGCGGGGTGATAAGATAACGGGAGCAGCCTAGTGGCTGGACGAAAAAAGGTCGCCGGCGGGAAGGGAGACGAGCCGCCACCAGCCGAGGGGCTTTTTTGACAAGATGCCTAGAAGCGATTATTGAGCAAAAGATGTTTACTGACTTCGACTGGCTTTTTCACAGAGTGTAGATAAAGAGAGTATACTGCGAATGCTGCTGCCGGCACTGCCATGCACGTACACAGACAGATACAACAACCTGGATAGACTGCGGGTTGCTGGTCTGGTCGAGGGGCGGATTGACAGCAAGGACAAGCATCCACCGACAGCGCCAAGTGGGGGTTCCACGTCTATCTACCAGCTAGCTGGACGATGAAGGGAGGATGAAGATGGAGGGAGGGGGAGGGGAAAGGGAAACGAGGGCAAGACAGATAGCCACAGGGATCCCCCAGAGATGGTGGCAGACAGCGACGAAGCAGCAGGACGGGACAAGAGGCGGCCAGAGGAGGGAGGGGGGGTGGCCTGTTCGGATGCTCTTTGGCTCTCTCTCGTCTGAAACGGCCGATGGAGATGTGAGCAGCACGTCTGATTGGCCACGAGGGCCGGTCCAGCCTCTCACGATGAAGCTCCCACCGCAGCACGGTCAGCGTCTGGCAAAGTGGGAAAAGAGAAAGTGGCCGCTTGCCGGGGCCGGCGCCAGTCTTCCAGTCACGGCTGCAGCTGGGGGAGAGGGAGGTCCGCAGCGTTGGGAGACAAAGACAGACAGGTCGGGAGTTGGGTATGAAGGTGTTGCAGTGCCGAGCGCTGGCAGATTGACATGAGGAGAGGGGAAAGAGAATGGATGAAGGATTTATAATTTCTTTTTCATTCTTCTATAAAACGACTGGAAGAGGAAGAAACAAAAGAAAACAAAAAGAATCTACAGCAGGATCGAGCAGGAAGCGAGGAACAAGAACCGAGTCCGATCGATACATCATCGCTCCCGCATTGATCGCTGCGCTGCCGCCAGGGTTCATCCTCGCCCGCCGCATTGACGCCTCGCTGTCTTCTCCATTCTCTCGCTCTCCCTGCCGAGCGGGCCTCTAACACTATTTAGCTCGAGCTTGCAAGAGCCCCGTCCGGGTCTTTCTGCTCGAGGTTCTGGGACCGTGGCTCGACCCTTTTTCCGCATCCTCCCTGGAAGTACGACTAGGTGGCAGCTAACCTGACCGACCAGCCAGCCAGGCCGCACCAAAGTACTGCATACTCCCAACATACATCCGTCCATCTGCTCCATACCACCCACTGCCGGGGTCTGGACAAGTTACATACAGGCCAAGGCAGGCCAGGGCCGACTACCGACCGACACACCTCTGCTTAGCCCCATCCCGCTGGACCTTGCCGTCCGCCTCCAAACTCTCCCATGTATTCGCTGGTAACGGTGAATCAGCAGGTCTCCCTGATCAGCGTCACTGTCACTCCCAGCACCTTTTTCGTTGCCCTGATTATTGTCCTCATCTTCGTCAGCCTCTACGTCCCCAAGCTGCCCAACTTGACCCTTCCACGAATTCCCATACCGCGCTTCCTCACCGCAATCTCAGGCGACGACAAGACGCTCCCTCCATTGCCGCCGTCGCCCGTTGCGCCCATCTCGCCCATCTCGCCCGACCGACAGCTTGTATTGCGCGACCAGTCGCTTACGCTCTTCCGCCGCGAAAAGAAGGATTCTCACCGGGACAGAGACAGAGACCACGACCGCCACAGGAAAGAACCAAGAGATCGCTACAGAGACAGAGACTACGCCTACCGAGAGAGGGATCACTACACCAACGACATCGACCATGGACGATCCCCAAGAAAGGCTCGACGCCTCTTTGCGGGATTTCGAGACTCCAGCAAGCCCGACATCTACGACGAGGAACTCATCTATTCTCCCCAGCGAACCGGCGATGGAGGACGATCTCCTGGCGGACCTGGACGTCGCGTCCGTCGGCTCTTATTCCCCTCCAGCGTGGCGGAGACTCGCCAACGGTAGTCGAAGCAACGGCTTCTGGAGGCCGCCGTCGCATGATGCGCTCAGCGCAATGTCGCCGATGCGCCTGGCCATGCGCAACACCCCCTACAGCGAGCGCGACGACGACGACGACACCGACGACGACCTAGACCTCGAGGACAACCAAAACGACATTTTGCAGCGGGCGATTCGCACAAGGCTTCCCACCGGCAGCATGAGCCCGGACAAGGTGAGGAGTCGCAGTCCCGACGGAAATCGCAGCAACACCTTGCGCTTCGAGGCACCAACCCCGCCCGTCCTGGAGAGGATACTGGAGTCGCCGCCACCGACAGATAACTGTGAGTTGCCTTAATTGCTGCCTGCTTCTGCCTGGGCGCGCTGCCATCCTCGTCGCTTCATTGGACATTGGCGACTGACATATCCCCTCTTTTTCCCTTGTTTAGATATCCGTTTCGCTGTGCGCGCCGAGGTTCAGCAGCGTACCGAACCAATTGAAACCGCCATTGCCTTCATCCGCAAACGCTACTCCGCTCTCACCGCATCATGGACGACCACCCTATGCAGCGTTCTGCTCGCCCTCTGTGGTGTCTCACTCTTCAAGACGCTCATCCAAGAGCCTGCGCCGCGGCCCGTCGGCGATCTCGTCAAAGTCGCGGGCATCGCGCGCTCGTTTGAGCCGCTCATATACTATTCGGAGCATGCCATCACGCAGGTGCATGACTTGCAAGCTACAAGCGTGGCTGTCTGGGACCTCGGAGAGACAGTGCGAACCAGCGGTATGCGAGACGCTTCGCTCATCGTCGCCGATCTGGATGCTCTAAGCGGCTCAATGAAGACGCTTGCAACCGAAATGACCAAGTTTTTCGCCGTTGTTGACGGCGACATTGACGGGTAAGTGATGAAATACACATGTTCCATCCAGCCTTCCATTTGTGACATCATCCGTTCTCCCATCTGTTCCATCTCTTGTGTCGATTGAGTCTTCCCTCTCTCCCGTCTTTTGTGTGTCTGTGTGTGTGACCCTGGTGTGTCGAGAGAAGCAAACAGCAAAGTTGACATGGGCGTTTGCGCCTTGTTGTACAACAGCATCCTCAATGTCATGGATTGGGCCAAGATGCATCTCAACCGCCTCCAGAGCGCTCCCTCTCCTTCCTCTCTCTCCTCCGCGTACGATAATATCCACAATATGCTTTCTGAGGCCCATGTCCTCGAAGACGCCTCTGGCGCTCCTACGCCGCTCGGCACGATTACTACGTACGTCTTTGGACTAAGCAACCCGCAGCGCGAGCAACGAATGGTCCAGCTACTGTTCAACGAATTCCTATCGATCCTCGAGGAAAGTGTTCGAGAGGAGCTTCGCTATAGCATGAACCTCTACGGTCTCTTCAACAGCATCGATCAGCACTTTCTCAACCTGGCGCGAACCGTCGCGCGCGAGACGTCCGCCCAAGAAGAACTCCACAGCGACATGCTGGCCAGCCTGTGGGTGCGCATCCTCGGGACGCGCGCCGCCGAGCTGCGCAAGTTTGAGCAGAACCGCATTCTGCTGCGCGACGTGCGGGAGAAGACGGTGCGCAACAAGGGCATCCTAGTTACGCATCACAGCAAGCTGCTGTCCTTGCAGACGTCGCTGGAGGGCTTGCGCACCAAGCTCATCTCCCCGCTCGTGCGTGGCACCAATGCCACCATCTTGACGCTCGAGGACCAGATTGACAGCTTGTCGGGCGTGAGGGACCATCTTGCCGAGATTCGACGCCAGCAGAAGGGCAAGGTTATGGAGACGCTTTACGCCAGCGTGCCAAGTAAGCAATTGCCGCAGAGAAATCTAGCGCTTGACGATGGCAGGAGTGATGTCTTCCGAGAGTCATGATCTTTGCCTTCGTTGCTCTCCATCTCTCTCCATAATTCTTTCTATTAGACAAAGGCGCGCTCCGCAATCTCTTACTCCCTTGTATTCTTTCTTCTCCTTTTTTCTTCCAAGAGGCGTCAAATCATTCTACTCGGGTATAAACAAAAAACTGTTAGTCCCGGTATTATTATCCTTTTCTCCCTGTTTTTTCCTCCTTTCATTATCAAGGCGCAAAACAAATGTCTTTTTTTTTTGTGGCTCACTGCCAAAGAGAAAAAACCAGCATGTGTTATTCAAACCGGATTTCGATTTGATCTTTCAACTTGAATTGCTTTTGTTCTTTTTTTAGTTATTGCTTCTTCTCTATCGGTTTAATGGCACAAATGCATGGTCAAAGGAGAGAAGGGGAAATGTCTTGAACCAAACTTGGAAAGAAGAAAAAAGGGGGCACTTATTCGGCGCTTGCGAAATTCCATCTTTGGAACGGTAAGGTACTGTGCTTCTTATTCTTTTCTATTTTTTCTCGTTGGGAATAAAGAGGGAGTGAGGATGCACGGCAACTAGTGAAAAGGCTTTGAGAAAACAAACACGGATTCCAAGTTTTTCACATGGATATTTTGTTCTCTCTCCCTCTTTTCTCTCCTTTTCTACCTATCTTGCTTTCTTTCATATCTTCAGCATTGTTCTTGCTCTCTTTTTCATACTTGTCCTCATATCTTCAGCATTGTTCTTGCTCTCTTTTTCATACTTGTCTTTCTTGGGCGTTGGATACAACGGGCTTATCTCTTTGGCGTCTTCTCTCTTGCGTTATGGTACTCAGGCCAGCGGACTCGTTACTATTTTTATTTTTTCACAACTCTCCTTTGACTTTCCACTTATATTTTCCTTCCTTTTCAAATCTCCTCTTCTCTCTCACATCTTGTAGTATATTTCTTAAAAATGTACTCGGCATGTGTGGTTATATCCTGTGTATCTTATCAATGTAACTGGGCAGCGTTCGGTCAACGGCGGTCTTTGTTTTTCTCATAAAGGAAAAGGGCGTTTTTGATCATCTTGTTTTGGGTGCAAAGGGAGGTAAACTTTCCTTCAAATGAGAAAGTGACAGCCTTGGTTGGGCGCTGGGCTTCGGTTGGGTATGTAATTACTACCTCCTAGGTTTGGCAGTGTCAATTTATAGCAGCTATTTCATTTACAGTCAGATTTATCTTGTATACTTCACGGTTTCCAATCAAATGTCTCTGTCAGTAAAGAGAAGACACAGTTCACTCACTCACTCATCGCACTATCATGTCACGTATTGTATGCACAAAAAGTTTTAAGAACATGTTATCTATTAGAAAATTCCCTAAAATCCTATCCGATTTCAAGCCTCTGCATCCGTACTTTTTGCCAGTGAAAGTGGACCATGTTCATGGGGGTATAGCCCAGAGGCAGCCTTCATAAAACCTGCAACCCGCAACGCCATCCCAGTGAGCCTGAATTTTTTCCGGTGACGATGTTTCTTTTTCGTCCCAGCCTAGGCGAGGCGACATCTCGCATCCGAAAATACCACCTCCCAAACCACTCAACTTTTGTTCATCCTTGAGAAAAATATAGCAAATAAGTCTATCCTTACATGATGCAATAGACGTAGGCAAACGTGGCATATCATATTGCATCTCACGTATCATCCAGTGTCATGCGAGTCCCATCTCTCGCCGTAGTCAAATATTTTTTAAACGACAAAGGAAAAAGATATTGCGTGTCAAAAAGGGGGGAATTAGGCTTTGTTTAAGCCTTGGTTTCCTCCTCCTTCTTCTCAGGGGCAGGACCCTGAGACTTGACGTACTCATCGTAGACGGCCAGCGCCTCGTCAACCTTGGCCTTCAAAGCAGCCTCGTCCTCAATACTAAGAAGAAGAAAAAAGGTTAGTCGCTATAAATGACAAGCAGGACATTAAGATAACTTAGATAACTTACAGGTTGACAAGCTCAGAGTTGTCCATCTCCAGCAGCATACCGGTGATCTTGCCAGCAAGCTCAGAGTTGATGGCCTGGATCTTGGGGAAGATCAGTTCACCAAGTATCTGCTTCTGCTGGGCAGGCTGAGCCGCAGCAAGCTGAGACTGGAGCATAGAGGGAGCATTGGCGGTGTTGGTGTTGGCAGCGTTGTCGCGAGGAGCTTGGTTGTTGAAGTTGCCGTTGCGGCCAGCGTTGTTGTTGCGTCCCATACCCTGGCGGTTGTTAGGGGGGTAGCCGGGCATTCCACCCTGAACGTTGGGGGGCATGCCGGCGATGTTGCCACGGCCGCCCTGAGGAGCGCCACCACGGCCGCCAGAAAGAGCAGCCTGCTGAGCCTGCTGCATAGCAGCCATGAACTGAGGAGTTCCAGGCTGGCCAAACTGAGGAGGGAACTGACCGGGGAGACCGTACATGTTGGGGGGCATTCCCTGGGGAACGTTACGGCCACCCTGCTGAGGGTATCCAGGGAACTGGCCAGGACGGCCACCCTGAGGAAGAGGCATTCCAGGCTGGGGGAAAGGCATACCACGGCCACCCTGGGGGATGAAGCCTGGCTGCTGGCCAGGAGCATAGAAAACGGGGGGCTGCATGAACTGCTGCGGCATACCAGCTGCCGCGGCGGCCTGCTGCATTCGCAATTGGTTGCGAGCCTGGATGCTAGCCTCAAGCTGGCTCTTGCGAACGTCCTTGCGCTGGGCAAGAGCAACGTAGAGAGGTTTGTTGTTGATCATTCGCTGGTTCATCTCGGCAACGGCCTTGGTGGCATCGTCGGGGTTGCTAAAGCAGACGAAGCCGAAACCCTTGCTCTTACCAAGCTTCTTGTCGCCCTTCTTCTCAGCCTTCTTCTCGGCGTTCTCAGCCGACTCGGCCTCGTTCTCGGGCTCCTTCTTGTTCTCCTTGTCCTTCTCCTGGTCCTTGACCTCCTCCTCGCCCTCCTGAAGACTGTCTCTCATGACCTTGGCAGAGGTGATGGGGCCGAATTCGGAGAACATCTGGCGGAGCTTCTCGTCATCAACATCGTCATCGAGGTTCTTGATGTAGAGGTTGACACCCTGGTACTTGCTGGCCTTCTCAAGGCGCGCAGCCTCATAAGACTTTCGCAGTTCCTCTTCACGCTCATGCTTCTTCTGGGCACGGCCAACGTAGAGCTCCTGGCCACGGAAATCATTTCCGTTCAGCTCGTCAACAGCCTTGTAAGCAGCTTCGTGAGTGGTGAAGTTAACAAATCCAAATCCACGAGATTTGCCCTCCTGGTCACGGGCCAGAGAAGAGGAGGTGACATCACCGTACTTCTCAAACAGCTCACGGAAGTCGTTGTCGGTGACGTCGGGGCTGATGTTCTTCACGTAAACGTTGGTGAAGTTGGCCTTCATTTCTTCGAACTTGCTCTGGCGGTCCTTCTTGGGGATGTGGTAGCCGACGTAAACCTTCTTCTCGTTGAGCAACATGCCGTTGACGTGCTTGATAGCCTGAGCAGCAGCCTCGTCAGTCTCGTAGTGAACGAAACCATAGCCCTTGGAGGCGCCGGTCTCATCCTGGGCAACCTTGCAGCTGAGAATGTTGCCAAAGGCAGCAAAGGTATCGTGGAGAGCCTTGTTATCAATAGCAACGTCCAAGTTCTTGATGAACACGTTGCCCTGGCCGGTCTTGCGCAGAGCAGGGTCACGCTGGGACCACATGATACGGCAAGGACGGCCCTTGATGGGAGTGTAGTTGAGCTCCTCCAGAGCCTTCTCACCATCAGGGGTAGAGTTGTAGTTGACGTAGGCGTAGCCCAGAGAGCGGCGGGTGACAGCGTCACGGCAGACACGGATGGAAGCCACGGCGCCAATCTGAGAGAAGAGCTCGAAGAGCATGGCCTCGGTGACGGAGGGGTCGAGCTCTCCGACGTAGAGCGAGGCAGAGTTCTGAGGGTGGGGGGCGGCAGTGGGGGTAGGAGCAGAGGCATCCTCAGCACCAGCGCTCACACCAGTGTCGACGGCAGGAGCCTTGACATCGCCGCTGCCATTGAGGGATGTGTTGTTGAGGTCGTTGGCGAGCTGGTCAACAGCGCCCGAGGTGGTGTTAGTGGCCATTGCGACGGTTGACTAAATCACGGGTATCGAACAAGACTGCAGAAAAACAACAAGGTCAGCAACCGAAAGACATGAAGGAGACATCATATCCGCGATGGATGGCGGCCATGATACTTGGCGTCGGCAGCACTCACTGATTCAGAAAAGGAGAATGAGAAGATGAGTAGTGCTCGGCGAGTCAGAATGAACAATCTGCAGGCAGAGACTTGGTAATAGAGGCAACTTGGGGTGAGTTGTCTCGGATTTGATTTTTTTGTTTTTTTGCGGTGACCGTTGTCGACGACGTCGCGCGGGACTTGAAGGTGGGTGGGTAGGGTTTTTTGGGGTTTTTCAATTTTTTTTGGTTTTCTTGATTGAAGAAAAGAGCAAGAACAGAGATCAAGTACGAAGACCGTACCTCTGAACTATCTCGGTTTTATGGGTTTTGGGTTGTTTGGATAAGGTTGGACGTTGTGTGGAGGAAGAAAAAAAAGAGAATTTTCAAAGCCGCTTCACATTTTTTTTTCCCTGGGCTGCTAAACCTGTCTAGCGGTGGAGTGACCTTCCGTGCCTCCTTAGCGGCGAGTTGTGACTTCCTACTGGATGTGTTAGGGTATCGCATGGCCGTACAGTGCAGGGCACTGCCAATCAAGGCACTAGAATCCGCTGGAGCAGAGAGAGGTACCTGCCGGTCTGCATGACAAAGTAGCTGATAACAAAATGTGCCGTTTCTTTGTGCCTTCTTTGTTAGCGATGCACTGCAAACCCCGCCTCAGCCAAGTCTTTGGACTAATAGCCAGCCTATCAAACAATGAGGGTGTGATGCAAAGTCTGCCTCTTTTGTTCAAAAATTTTACGGAGGCGCCAAAAGCCTGGTTACTTTACTTTGTGTCTAGTGGGAGTTACGTGCAGCCACCTGGAAGCCGCGTCAAGATTCCAGTAAGGAATTCGCCTTCCTGCGCCACGCAATGCCACCTCAAAGAACAAAAAGTCTATTCAAACAGACGCAAAGGAAACAAGGGTAACAGTGACTGCCCCGCGTCTGTACACTGTGTTGGTGGGATGTTCAAAGGCGGTGACTGACTGCTGAAACTTCTCTTATCTTATCAGCACGCGACACTAGCCCCCGAGCACTTTTGCCCCACCAGCGATGATGCTATCCGAAAGGCAGCCTGTTGATGACTGATGGCCGACGGACAGCTTCGGTGTTGAATCTTCTAGAATCGCCGCAGCAGCCGCAAAATACCACAATATCGTGCGCCGGTGCTGCGTAGCATGTTGGTCGATCCACCCTCTTGATGTCTGCGTGTAGCTACTAGCAAATCCAACGCCGCCGCCATGTTCTCAACCTTCACGGGCAGCTCCCGGCGGCCGAGAAACGTGAATCTGAGCGGGCAGGCCAGCAACCCGTTCTCCAACACATCATGGTCCCCTTCGGCCGCTTCGAATGCCACAAAGACCGTTTCGGATGCGCAGGCCGACCGAGAAAAGCGACAGGTGGAGAGACGGCGTTTGAAGGCTGCGTCACAGATACAGAAGACATGGAGAGGATACAGATCGAGGACTACCCTGAAGGAGCAGCGCAGGAATGACTTTGATCTTGTCTATCAATCTCTCTCCGATGCCGATGCTTTCCAGAGGCTCTACGTTTCTTTTCCTCTTCTATTGTCTTTTTTCTCTGCCGCTCATGCCGGCGATATGCAACGCCTGTTCTTATTCATCAACGACTGTAACAATATCTCTCTGCAGCAACTATGTGACGCCAGCCACCATACGTCTCGACTCGAAAAATTAATGATCGTTCTGGTGCAAGCTTTGGACGTTTTAGTTATTAAAGAGTATGTTTACAGTTGCTCACTCGCGGAGGACCAAGCTCTTGGAAGCTACTCCAAGCTCTTGGCGCCTCATAACGTTACACACAAGCTGACCCGGCTTCTTAGTGATGCGTCATTGGAACTTCAGCACATCCTTACACTTATCAATCATTTGGGCGCCAACTTTCCCCTTATCATATTAGCGTCTGTCAACGAGTACTATGCGGCATTGGCAAAGCTGTGCCAATCACAGCGTAGTCGAGAATGGCTAGAGCCAGTCTTTAGATCCATATCGGCACCATTGAATACAGGCGCGGAAAATGGTATGCAAAGCTGGCTTATAAGTTCATATCTCTTGAGTAAGAATAGTGTGATGCTAACTCGATACCTCTTATAGAGTCAGAAGCATATTCAGCCTTGGCAATACGATTTCTCACCACAGACAACCTTCATTTCTTTGAGCAAAACATTGATCATGTGGGCGAAATCATCAATATGGAGAAGCTTGCGACTGAAATATTGCGATTATACACTTATAATTCCGATAATTTGCCAGACAAGGATCATCTCCTCTGGCTCCTAGCCCATTATATCGACTTGAGCAAGGCACAGAAAACTTCAACCCAGAATTTGATCAATCTGAAAGCTATTTTCACACAGCTATCTGCTTTGTCGTCCGATATTAATATTCGTATAAGCACACAGCAGCCCCCTGAGCAACTCAACGACGCAGCTGCCGAGTCTCTCATCTTCCCGTCAACATCATACACTACTCAACAGCTGCTACGGCTAGTTGACAGCAATGGCATTTCCAGCTTGCTACGTGATTTCTCCATTAGTTTGGCACAGTCTTCGAATCAAGAGCTAGAAGGTAGCGAGCTCCTTGCTGGCTATATTCTCTCTTTACTGCAAAGTTTCCCCACAAGAGCCGACGACACGCGTATGAGGCTGTTCCTCGAAGAAATACCGACCGCAGGGGGCAACATCCCCATTGTCAAATACCTCTGGCAGATGATGACCAAAACCTCGATATTTCAAAAATTAAAGGCTGAGTCCGAGCGTCCAGCGAGAGTGCTCCACAGATACTTTTACGAAACTGCATCTCGGTCTTCTTCAGCTCACACGGAAGAACAAGAGTGGAGAATTATCCTCTTGTTTTTAGAGCTTTATACCTTTATCCTTAGACTCAGCGATGATGAAGATTTCCTGAGCGGCATTTACCCTCAAGTCTTCAGCAGCGATGTGCCACAATCACGAACCCGGTCATGCAGTTTAGCACTCAAAGACATTGAAGCGCTCATTATATTCCTCAAAAACACAGCATTCGCTCTGCATTACAATGTTCAAGAAATCACCCAAACTCGGGCAGCTGTTGAGGCTTCAGCTACAGCCCGACTAAACTCCTACTGGGGAGACTCGTCGACAGTCTCAGATGGGCCCAAAGCCGCTAGCAAAACTCCAGCATCGGAAGTATCTACAAAGCTCGATTTAGAGAGCCTTCGCGCAATCATCACCACTTCGCTAAAAATGCTCTACGAAAGAGACTCGCGGAAGCATTTCTTATCGGCAGATCACTGGCTCATGACGGGCAAACTGGAGAAGGAGGATTTTATCGGAGCTGTTATAGCGGAAGAAGAGAGACAGATCCAGGAACAGGCAGAGGATAGCGACACAGAGGCAGACGACGCTATTTCTCCATTTGATGACGGTTTTGGATCGCATTCAACTTTTGCTGCGCAGCGGCTTTCTCGCCACGTCAGGTTGGAAAGGCTCAAAGCCCGCCAGATTCACGCTCAAAGGGAACGAAGACTTGCGGAAATGGGACCCAAACTGGAAATTCTCAAACATATTCCGTTTGTTGTTCCGTTTGAGACGCGAGTTATGATATTCAGATCATTTATCAATCTCGACAGACTTCGCAGAAGTGGCAATAGCGCGTTCCCGATGCCTCCTTTGGGGAGGCACCATGCGAAAATCCGTCGCGGCCAGCTATTCGAAGATGCATTCGAGCAGTTCTATCAACTAGGAGAGGGTTTAAAAGACCCTATTCAGATTACCTTTGTTGACCAGTTCGATACCCCTGAAGCGGGTATAGATGGTGGTGGCGTTACAAAAGAATTCTTAACCAGCGTCACATCAGAAGCTTTTGGAAACCAGCTTGGAGGCCTGGGCATGTTCACATCCAGTGATAAGGGGCTACTGTATCCCAACCCCATGGCTTTGGATATACTTCGCGAGTCACTGCGACAACAAGGGCTTACCGAATCTGATCACGAGTGGAGGGAAGCAATCTCCGAGTTATTCAAACGTTATGAATTTCTTGGCCGTATTGTAGGAAAGTGTATGTATGAGGGGATCCTCGTCGACCTTGCGTTTGCCGGATTTTTCCTTTTGAAATGGCCGTCACCAAATCGAAAAGAAGAAAACAGCTACAAAGGTAGTGTCAACGATCTCCAAGACATGGATGAGGAATTATACAAGGGTCTCCTTAACCTCAAGAACTACCCGGGAGACGTATCTGCCCTGGGGTTCGACTTTACCATTACGGACCAGGTATCAGCTCCAGGGGAGCCTGTCAAAACTGTTAGCAGAAAGTTAGTGCCCAACGGTGATGAGGTACCAGTTACAAACGACAATCGCCTGCTCTACATATCCTACGCAGCTCGTCATCGATTGGTTGTGCAGCCGGCTCCCCAGACCATGGCTTTCCTGCGCGGGCTTCGCGAAATCATTAGACCTTCATGGCTTTCTATGTTTAACCAATCTGAGCTACAGCGTCTGGTTGGCGGCGACTCTATGGAGATTGATGTCGAGGATTTACGCCGAAATACAGTCTACAGCGGTCTTTACGCTGTGGGTGACGATGGAGAGGACCACCCCACAATCAAAATGTTCTGGAACGTCATGAACGGCTTCACAGACGCTCAAAGGCGCGACGTTCTCAAGTATGTCAGCTCAACGCCGAGAGCACCGCTTCTTGGCTTTGCACAACTGAATCCGAAGTTTGCCATTCGGGATGGTGGCTCGGACCAAGAACGACTGCCGAGCACAAGTACGTGTGTTAATTTGCTAAAGCTACCGGTTTATAAATCAGAATCGACATTACGAACGAAATTACTGTACGCGATATCGTCAGGGGCTGGGTTTGATTTGAGTTAGAGTTTAAAGCGTGGTTTTCAGGATAGACAAGGAATCATACATGTAGGGATGAGTGCAAGGAGTTGGAGCATCATATTAAATTTTAACACACTAATTTTCCTTTGAGACATTCTGTGCGCTCTGCATACAGCCCTGTGAGATGATAATGGATATGTATCCCTTACATATTTCATGTGAATACCAGTATCTAGGGACTTTCACAAGGCTACGTCTTTTGCTAGGGCCCCTACGTCATTTAGACACCATCAACGTGACGCTGACGGTGGCATCTCAGAGTTGATGAGCGTTGAACAAATGTTACTGAGCCCAGAATGGGAGGTCAGCAAATACTCTTATGATGTCATATGATGCTTGCGCTAGGATCCTTGAGTAGCTTGTGCGTTGCGATTTCCAGTGCACCGTCACGATAAGACTACAAATGTGAAAACAGGCTCGAGAAACATTTAGACAAGATAAATCTTCCCACGGCAAAAGTACCTATTGCCCGCAAGTGTTTATAGGTACAGTACAGCCAGATTCCGTCTACCGCCTAAGCTATCCCTACCCTGCAACTCGGTGTAATTGGGTTTGTTTCTACATCTATCAAGCGCACAAAGACTTTCTGGTTTGCTAGACTAGATCAGTATATTGAATTTTCCATATCTCGCATGTTCTCGTGACGATCAGTTCTTTTCGTCTTGGAGAAAACGTTCCGGTAGACATTACTGATGGTCATGTTACGGACCGCGGCTAAGAGGGCGGGCCGCCTTACCGTGGAATAGCCTACTCGGAGAAGCGTCCCCGGTAATGGAAGTCCGTAGTACGGAGCATGACTGGGCGCTATAGACAACCAAACAGCACAGGCAAAGGAATCTCTCGCAAGAGGAATGGCACATGCTCAGGCTGTCTTGTAAGCTTACCGAATTATTGCGTCTGACGCTGCAGTTACATGCCTTGCTGTACCTCAGGCAGCTGCAGGATTACGGGACTTGAGCCGCTTATACATGAAGAATGTCGCCGATATCGAAGCAGGCATCGCCCAAGGCGGCCTTTACTGCACCCGCAAAAGGACCAAGTATCTGCGGCATCGGCGAGCTTGATGGAAAGAATGTTTTAGAGCTCTAAATTTCACTTCGAAATCTGTAGACGGCAAGCAAGCAGAATTGGCATTTCTCTGCTGCGGTTATTTGAGGCTTGGGAGAGGTAGAGAGTGTTTGGAAACTGGAACCTTGAAGCTACTTTATGAGCCGAGCTTAGCCACCGCTCACAGAGCGTGTGGTGTCACGGCACAAGGTACCCTGCAAGTAGAGCGTCTCCCCGGTTGCGATCGGCTATGGAAACCCGGGGGGCCTTGGCAGCCAATCGCCGCGCAGGCAATAATAATGCCCGTAGCTCGGGCCCTTGACGTCGATGCCGCTTTTCTTTTTCGTTCTACTCCAGCCCTTTTACTCTCGCCAATTGCTTCTCCATCTTCTCGGGTCTCTCTCCCTTTTGGAGCTGCGGTTGGAACTCTAGAAAAGAAAGGGTTCAGCACACACAATGCCGGCGCCCGCGCCTGTATCAAGATGCGCCCTGCGCGGCACCCGGGCGATCTCCAGATGTCGGCCAGCAAGGTTCCTCGGCGCCGTGGCAGCGACGCGGAGAGCTCCGCTGATGGTCCGGCCGGCGATGGGCACGTCAATTGCTGCCGTCAGGCCCTTCAGCACGTCTATGCGGCTGCGCATGGCCGCCGAGGAGAGCTCGCCCGACCCGTTGAGCATTGAGCGTGAGTCAGACGAGGTCGACGTCTGCATCATCGGCGCCGGCCCCGCGGGGCTCAGCGCGGCCATCCGCCTGAAGCAGCTGGCCAACGAGGCGGGCAACGAGGACTTCCGCGTGCTGGTGCTGGAAAAAGCCGGCGAGGTGGGCGCCCATATCCTGTCTGGCGCCGTCATCCAGCCTTCTGCCATCAACGAGCTCATCCCCGACTGGCTCGACGAATCGAACCCCAACCGCTTTGAACATGCGACGCCGGCCGGCAAGGACAAGATGCGCTTCCTGACCAAGACGGCTGCGATCCCGATCCCCATGCCGCCTCAGATGAACAACCACGGAAACTACATTGTCAGCTTGAATCAGTTCATCAAGTGGCTCGGCGAGCGGGCGGAGGAGGTTGGCGTGGAGCTGTACCCTGGCTTTGCCGCCTCGGAGGTTCTCTACAATGCCGACGGGTCGGTCAAGGGCGTTGCTACAAACGATTTGGGAATTGGGCGAGATGGAAAGCCAAAGGATTCTTTTGAGCGCGGTATGGAGTTCCACGCGAGAGTCACAATGTTTGGCGAAGGTTGCCACGGCAGCTTGAGCAAGAAGGTCATCAACAAGTTTGACCTACGACGAGACAGCCAGCATCAGACATACGGCCTGGGCGTCAAGGAGGTATGGGAAATTGACCCTGCCAAGTTTGAAAAGGGCCTGGTTGTGCACAGCATGGGCTATCCCCTGCCGAAGGACGTATACGGCGGCTCTTTCATGTATCACTTTGGCGAGAATCTGGTCAGCTTGGGCTTGGTTGTGTCGCTGGACTACGAAAACCCTTGGCTCTCGCCATACCAGGAGTTCCAGAAGATGAAGCAGCACCCTCTCTTCAAGAACGTCCTCGAGGGCGGCAAATGCATTTCATACGGAGCCCGAGCCCTTGTCGAAGGTGGATTCCAGAGCATACCCAAGGTTGCCTTCCCCGGCGGTGCCCTCATCGGAGACACGGCCGGCTTCGTCAACGTCCCCAAGGTCAAGGGCACGCACAATGCCATGAAGTCGGGCATGCTGGCCGCAGAGGCCGCCTGGAACGCCCTGAAGGAGCCCAGCGAGGGCACCGTCTTCCTGTACGACTACGAGGACTCGCTGCGCAAGTCGGCCATCTGGAAGGAGCTCAAGGAGGTGCGCAACATGCGGCCGTCGTGGCACAACCCGCTCGGCGTCTACGGCGGCGTGGCCTACTCGGGCCTCGAGGCGTACGTCTTCAGGGGCAAGGTCCCTTGGACGCTCAAGCACGGCAAGCCGGACTATGCGTCGACCAAGCCCGCCGACCAGTTTCCCAAGATTGAGTACGAGAAACCCGACGGCAAGATCAGCTTTGATATCCTGACGAGCGTTTCGCGGACCGGAACCAACCACGAGGAGGACCAGCCTGTGCACTTGCAGGTCCAGGACTGGGATGCCCACACGGAGAAGGCTTACCCACCGTTCAAGGGCCTGGAGAACCGCTTCTGCCCGGCTGGCGTGTACGAGTATGTCGAGGACGAGTCAAAACCCCACGGCGTGCGGTTCCAGATCAATGCACAAAAGTGAGTAGCACCACCCTCTTCTTTTTCAATCTTTTTTTCATCGATCCGAGTGACTAACATAAGGAAAACAGCTGCATTCACTGCAAGACATGTGATATCAAAGCTCCCCAGCAGGACATCAACTGGCAGGTACCACAAGGAGGTGAAGGCCCCAAGTACTACATGACATAAAAGAGCGGGGGACAAATAAAGCGATGTTGAGTGAATTCACACAAATTTGTATTGATATGTATGTAAATAATATGATTGTATGTTAATGTAAGTAAATCTTATTAGGGAAAGGGAACAAGCAACCGCCTTGTAACATAAAAAAGAACAAACTTTATATAAAACAGGGTGGCTGGGCCTCGATCTAGAACTTCCCCACGCCATCATGTAGGTTTATCTGAGAAGAGATCACAAGGCAAATAAACGACAGATTCGGATTTCGGAACCAAGGAAAAAACCAAGTTTTTATCGCACCAGACCTTAAACAAGAAAGCTTAGCCCGCTCACTTTTAACACCGCTTACGGTACTGGGCTTAACAATAGCGGCGGCCCTACTTCTAGGTTTTTGCATTAGGCTTGGGTCCCCCGGATAGCAAGTACTAGTAGTAGTAGTAGCGCTTATTTTCGGAGTGGGCTGGCGCGCAGTTTTTGCATGTGTCAAGTACCCCAGAGGTTAGCGCTCACCGGGGAGTACCTCAACGAGGAATAGGGCGTTGACTTTGTATCTAGCAGCTGTACGAGGCTGGGAGAGTTGAGCTGATAGGGACATGTACGTGCACCTACGTGCAGCGAGAGGGCAGTGATAGATCTCTCACCGAGTATTCTGGAAGAATGTCATATGTGACAAGTTGGTGATGCTCTGCCGTCTGTCGCGCATTACTACTTATTAAAGGGTGAGTACGGTACTTATTGGTGAAAGGATTTGATTAATAAATGCAAAGGATCAATGCAGACACAGCCCATGCAACAGAGGGTAACACCAAGAAAAAAAATTATCTTGCATTGATGAGAACCAAGAAGCAGCCACTTTGTTTGCTCCCTCTCTGATGCGCTGCTTTCCCAAAGGGATTCACTGAGCATTCTTCCGTTGCATTGCAAGGCTGCACAGAATGCCGTTGGCCGTGAAACATTGAGATTCCTCTTGTTTCTCACTCCGGCGCTGCTGCGGCTGGTTCCCAAACGGGCCACCGGGGCTCGCACTCGGCAAGATGCTTGCTACAGAGACCAGATAGCAACACGGTGCTACTGCTACCGCTACAAGGGACCGTTCAGCTCCCCGGCTGCTGATCATCGCCTGGCCGAGTTGCGCTGATGAACGATACGAGCAGTGCTAGCTGCTGGGCGTAGATAATCAATACTACCCAAGATCGTGGATGGAAAATTTTTTACGTCAGGTTTCCTTCTACGCTCTTTTGCGTGGGCCATCTAGAATTTTTACGCGGTTGATGCGACTACTGGGACAAAAACCAATGGCTACACCAACAACGGCTGGGGCTGGCGAGAACGCAAATTTTTTCTGGATCTAAGGCGGGCAGCGTATCCAGTTTTGGCAGCGATGCGGCGCTAGGGGGCAAAAGTGTAACGTGGAATTTTCAGAGCAAAGGACGCTGCTGGGGGGTCACCGGGATGGAAAATTGTTAGTGAGGTACTTTGTGCGAGCCCGAAGCAAATCTTGGCTCTTGCTCGCCAGGTAGCGGGTACAAGACGATCGCCAGCTCCCAATCTCCCGTGATTGCGCCGGTGCAACCTGCGGGACTCGGCTTATCTGGCATTGATGAGACATGCAGCAGCACTGGCTCTGGGCTTTATCTCGCTTAGCCACAAGATTGTGTGAATCCGTGTTTGTGACCTCTTTCTTTTCGGTCGGCTTTTTCTGCGGTTGCGCTGCGTCAGAAGCCAGATGCCATTACCTGGAGCAGTTGAGTAAGGGTGCAGTGATGCTAATATACTGCGGTGATATACAGCGCCAGCCCAGCGTGTATCCAGTACTTGGCGCCGAGGGCCACTCACAAGGCCGCAAGCAGCAGTGGATGCGGCTCCTGGGATGGTTGGCTCAGA